AGGTCAGGATTTTTGATGTTCATACCCTAAACAAGTTTCTGAAGGAATCACTTAGGTCCCTGCTCACGCACTCTATATCTCCTTTATTGACTGGACTAAAGGTATTTTCTCTAGCATACATTATTGAATAGACCTATTGTATGTATTTGCTTCATACATTTGTTTGTTGATATTTAAGTCCTGGATGGTTTTTGGGATGATAGGAGTTCAAGTATATTATAACTCCTTAAGTAAATTCCGAATATTCTAACATTGTGATATGAACCAGTAATTTCATGCAAATAAATAGTATAATGATTATATATTTCCCGTTAAACATTTACCACATCCAAATAAATAATTCTAAAATCTCAACTTTTATTTTTTTTATTTATGAAGAAAATTCAGCCAATTTTTTAAAAACTTGTAAATAATTAAAGTTTAGAAAAGAAAATTTCAATATAGATTCTATAGCAACTATAATAGAATACTTTTAGTCAACCTTTACTGAAATAGATATTTAACCATTTGGCTCTCAAATAAAAATAATAATGGAATGTAGTAATTTAAAACTTTTTATTTCCTTAGAGTAAATAAACAAGATATAGATTCCCAAAGCGAGTCTTTAAGTCTATTTGTTATGTCTTTTTATAGAGAATTATTTATTTAAAAAAGGCTATATATTCAAACTGTGAATAAACTGAAAATCATTCGGGTTTCTTCAGGCTGAAAAATGTGTTTCCTAAATTAACATTATATTCCATAAAAACTTGCAGTGAGATTAAATTTTATAATAAATCTACAATGCAAATAAAACTTTAAATCATCTATAATGCTTCAAGCAATCAAAAACTACAACTTCAATTCAAAACAAATTCGTTAACAACAATATTACAGTGTATTCAAATTTTTTTTTTTTAAATTGTTAAACCAGGCATTGAAGAACCAGCAGTATTGTTTTAAATTTTTCTTGACACTAGATGAGCTAACAACCCATCAACTATGATCAGCACAAGACAAATAAATATGAGACAGAATTTTGAAATGACCACTTTCATGGTTGAAGGGCAATTAAATAATAAAATATATAATACTCATTAAAATAAATTTTAATATTATTAATATGTTTATTTTTAATGTGCTTTTTATTGATGATTAAAAAATGGAAAATAGAATTTCTTGAGTCCATCCTGCAATTGACATGCATGGAGAAAAGAAAAAAAAAAGAGAGTAAATTTGGGTTGCAATAGAATTCAAGTGAATAAGAATGTAATTTGACAATTTAGTAATAAAAAACAAAACAATAAATAGCTAAAACTTCAAATAACAATGCATGGTGGGTGCAGGGTTTATGACCTATGTCCACTGTATCGTAAAACCATACGACTCCCAAACACAATACAGTAAAAGTGTCTGTTAACTCTACTTTATAAACATGCATTTATATAAGCTAATAAAATACATTAAAGGTAGGCTGAGAGAAAAAATGGAAAGATATTTCTGGAGTGAAAGTTTTGAAACACTATTCTAAGCTAAACTGCATAAGATACCCTACGGTATGAGTAGATTATGCCGTAGTTCCATTTCAACGACTTTTCTTTAGTACTAATTATCTCTTTAAAAATGTATAAGAAAAATTTGTTACTTTTTGCATTTTAAAACAAATTTATTAATTAACTTTCGGAACACAAATTAAATTAAATGTTGCATAATTTATTTATTTAAAATAATGCATAATCACTTTTGTGCATTAAACAAATATGTTTTAAATATAAAATAAAATTTTTCATTTTATTTATTTTATGCTTTTATTTTTCATTTGTACATTTAAATTTAAGAGAATCAATCGAACCCAATACCTGATAAAATTGTGGAGGAATGAGATTAAGATGTTAAAATGGAAACATTTTGAGACTGAGAGTGTGGAAAATCTAAAAGAAGAACAATGTGGTAAATGGGAGACCTGTTATTGAGCTTAAGGCTCCTGATTCTGAATTCTAGTACAGTGGCAAAGGATTGAGGATGGAATCCGTAGAAGAGGAAGGTTGAGGAGACATTATAAGAGACGAGATGTTGAGAAAAAGAATTTTAAGAGATGTCAGCAGTGGATTTGTAATTTCAAATCTAACCACTGCAGCAGGCACTCTCATGTTTCCTTCTAGTGCACAGAGCTGAAGTGGTTTTATCCTGCTTCCCGACAGCAATTCTTTTTCCAAGTCCTCAGAACCAAAAACCCTTCCTACATCCTAGAACTCCTTACTCTACACTCCTCTATCCAACCTCTCAATACCTGATCTCAACCTAAATATTTATATCCACTCCCATAAAAATACTTCCTTCAGGAAATCTTTCGTCATTCCTGCTACCGTCTTTTGGAACTCTTTACCTACATCCCTAAGCCAATCCTCGTTCTCAAATTCCATCAAACAACTCCTATTCCACCACCTACCCCGCATCCAAACTTTCGCAAACATGTAAAATTTACTTGATTCTGTAAACTGTATAATTCAATCAACTACACAATTGCTATTGAAATTAAATGTTTATATAGGAATTATTTTGTATACTCTAAGCCAGACTAATGCTCATAATTATGTAACTCTGTTATAATTCTTAGGGGGACAGTAGACCTAGGATAAAATTATTTTTCATTCATTTCAGTAAGTTGGGAATCATCTAAACAAAAAGATTAAGAATGAAGAGAGGTGCAATGTCGAGAGCTTAATTTTTGGTGAAGTTGATTGATTATATGATCAATTAAGAAAGTTGTGGCTGGAGGGCTAATAAAAAATTAGCAGCAAATAGTGTACTATTTTTTTAACGTCCGGTTTGACCACTACTAGTTGCTATGTTTTGACCGATCCACGGAGCATTTTCTTGCTTTAAAGATGCAATACAAAACATTCTATTTTTCACTGTTCACTTATCTTCTTCACATTAACTGCCATGGTCAGAAGTAATGTAAAATAGGTAAATATAAACTAAGAAAGAATTTCATAATGAACTAAAGAAAAATATGAAGGGAGGAATATTTTAGTAGGTTTAAAATGAATTTCTAGAAATAGGAGCAGCAATATACATCTATAATTTATCTATGAAAAGCTAAATATTTTAGAAAACTTAACATATAGCATAGGAAGTCGTAAAGGCAATAGAGAGTGACAATAACTTTTGATTGTAATACCATATTATAATTGTCAATGAGAATAAGGGGAAGGAGACAATATTAGAACTATAGGCCTCAAGTCTCACCATAAAGTTCTATTTTATTCTTTTTTCAGTTGTATGTTATCATAAAATATACTAACTTATGTAGTGATTCCTGAATTAGCACGCATAAATAGAATTTTATGACAAGTACTACTGAGGCATAGTCCTTATTTATTTATTCTAAAATTATTTTTTACTGAAAGTAGGGTGGTGATAAGTGAAAGTTGGGTATGCATTGCACGAGATATATTTTTTCTTTCAACTATTGACTTTTTGATGCACTTCAGAACACCAAAGTGATATTTTACTTAAGCATGACCCCGTGATTAATAATCAACTCAACCCACATCCCACAAAACAGCCTAATTTTTTTGTTCAAGTAACAGAGATCTAGTTAAAATGTAGAGCAGCCGCAGATACAAAAATACAATATAGTGAACTCATGCTAATCAAAACCATTCCTTAAAATAAAAATTTGATTATAAGTATTGAGTAAATGCATTCAATAAAACCGTATTAACTACACCTTAACTGCAGAGGCTTAAATAATTTAGTTTAAAATGCCAACTTTTCATATCTAAAAAAAAAAAAACTGTGAACATATTAAATTTGGAAATATATTTATTTCCTCAATTTCTTTATCAGCGGATATAATTAACTTATCCTTTAAATTAATCTTCAGTGAGAAATTGTTTTGTTATAATATAAAGTTAATTTACACTATTCTTCCCATTAGAAGATACGGTCAGAGGCCTTGAAAAAGATAATTTCGAATTCCAAACAAACAAGAATTTCTCAAGGAAATAATTTAAAAATAAATTTCTTAACAATGATTAATTTTGTAAAAATATTTATAAGTTTTGTTTTTTTAAGAAATGATTTTGTATTTACCGTTCGGCAATTTGAATTTTTCACTAATCCAAACTCTCTTGGTTTTAATTAGTTTGGATTAGCAAGAGTCCACTGTCCATTTATTTCTAGAATAAAATTGTAAAATTCAGGAGATGAACAATAGTAAAAATAATAGTACTGTGTATATATTGACCCTTTGATCATTATTAACATATATTATGCATTACTAAATAATAGTAATAGACATACTCTTCGAGAAGCAAATAGATTCCTTGGTAATGTGAAGAGTGGAGTGGTGAAGGAACAGTTAACAAGAAGGTTTAAATTTCATTCAAGGTATCAAACTGCCTTTTTAATTATCTTACTTTTTCAATCCAGCATAATTCCAACCAATCAGAGATAAGCTTCAGCATAAGTGAGATTACAACATTGAACAACTTTCAATTCAATCAAAACCTGGCAACTGCAAAATGAGTACAGCTTGACTGGAAAAAAATGACGATGCTGTCCAATTCAAAAAAGTAAAGGGACAAAGTTGATATCTGTAATTGAAAAATTTAACACAACACGAAAAAAGAATTTGTTTCATCATTGGTGGATGTTTTCAAACCGACGAATCTTCAAAATTGTAAGAAGCTCCACAATAAAGTGAACTACATATCAGCTATTATCTAAAACTTATTAAGAATTAGTGAATCAAACAATGTCCATATGGAGTTGAGTACATAGATAACAAAACTTTCATGAACAACTCCAAAATGGAGCACATGCACTCCATCTGAACCCCACTCCCCTACATTGGAAGACAAAAAAGTGAACGACGCGAATGATCAAATATCCGGTTTCCAGTCAAATCTTTATTTCAAGTATCATTTAGGGTAAAGAAATAAAATTAATTAAAACAAACACATGCTTAAATAAAAAATAATGGGTAGAGGAGATAAAAAATAAACATTGAAAACATAAAAATATAAAGTCTTTATATTAAAATTTCTTGTTTCTTTTACAAAGTGGAATTTCATTTCTAAGCAATCAATAATACTATAAATACAACACCCAAAAGTTGGATGACAATTTTATCACATATTTTAAACAATATATATTTTATTGTTTATATAAATTATTAATAAATATATATTTAATAAATTTAACAAAACAATATACAGGACCTTCATTCAGTCAAATCATTAACTAAGAGAAAATAAAATATGAACTACTTTTTTTTTTTTTGTAATTTCTATTCTTCATTTAGTTTTATTTTTTTATTAACACAAAAGCAACTTTTAACAATTAATATCAGTTTTTGCAAAAAAATTAATAGTAAATTAATTACTAACTACTATACATTAGTATATTATTAATTATAATTTATAGAAAACACAGCACAAGGAAGACATATTGTCTTTATATACCACAACCAATAAATAACTTCATTATAACAACTGATATTGATAAATAAAATAAAAAACAAATTTCATACCAAAGCGGGGTTTTTCGTATGATCTTTTTTTAAAAATTAAAACGAAATATACAATAATCTCAAGGATTTTTCGAATTTAACTTTTTAAACTTTTCATCAAGTGTACCAGGAATCTGAAACAATAAAACTATCATGTTGATTGCTATATTTAAATACACACTTAGCAAAATTCTAAATAATAATTATTAATTTCTTGAAAAAAATGGTCCCCAACAACATACATTGATTGACACACAATATTTAGCAAATTGAACAGAGGGTAGAAGGAATCTCAAAGTTCATAAACATTGATATTCAATTTAGCTCTATCGACAAGTGTGTTTCACTATTCTATAAATTTAATAGTGGTAAGGTTAATCACATTTATTTAAAGTATTTTAAAATGGAACTATTCAGAATAGTTTATAGCCATGGAGTTATTACTGATAGATTTTTTTTGCTTCCTATTAATTGTTTAATATTTTTACTAGTTAAGTCATTACGATTCACTAGTAAGAAGGATTCAATCTTGTATTTAAAAACAATAGAATGGTTCTATATTTACTTTTTACCTGAGGTCTATTTATTAATTTTAGCTTTTTCAGTACAACTCTGTCATTTCTATTATATTGTCCTATTCATTGAAAAAGTAAAAAATAAAACATGCAGCGAAAAATTGCTAAGACAACTAAAATATTGAAATATACTAATGTGTATACAACCATTTCTGAAGTAACAAGGGAAGTGTGGTTGCAAAGTATACGATGTCCGCCAACCTCTGATTTTGCTCAAAATTTATTTGTTGGTTCTAGATTAAAACAAATATACACATGTTGGTTCATCTCGGCCAATGGGCTGAGGAAAAAATGAAATAAATCAAGCTAAAATTGGTTTTATCACAAACTCGGAAGATGATATTAACATACCGGTTTTTCCTTTAAAACATTTATTTTTTAGATGGAATGTGGAAAAGAGAAAATGTTTAAATTATTAAGCAAACTATGCTAGTTGACTTTTTGACACAAAAAATAATGAAGTATTTTTATTTATCACTCCATAAAAACAGCTTAGATGATAGGTACCAGATATAAGAACTATTGAGCTTGCTTTGTCAATAACCTCACTTCTAATCACTCCACAAAACACTGATAACATTCTCTTCATAAGACTTTAATATTTCTGACTCTATATTATTATGGTTATTTTATTTGAACCTTTATAACTATATATTTTCAGCTAATTTCTCCAAACTAAAATTTCCGCTTTTTTTTCTTTTATTGCAAGAAATTTATGAGGAGCAATTATTAAGAGTTTGAGTTAAAAGAACAAGCAGATGAAGCATGTCATATTTTAAGTAAAATATGATAAGCACAGTAAAGGGAATTTCTGTATAAAAACATCAGATAAACAAGAACAAAATGTAATACTTTGTGGAAAATAACTTAATCCTATTCCAATCTACGCTTTCATTTAACACTTCAAAAATAAACCGCTCATAAGGCTGGAAATATAATGTAGACAAATAAAAGAATATTTTTTTTATGTGATGACTGTGTTATGGCTTTAGGTTTTAGTTAATAAAACTCTTGTTATTAATTATGTATTTATATCAAAACAAAACACTATTAGATATTTTTTCTTAATTTTTAAATTTTGTAGGCGTCCGTTAAGAGGGGTTAATATGTATGCTGGTAATTGAAATTTGGTGATCAGATCTGTTGCAAAGAGGACTTAATTCCCGTACTTTCAGACTGGGGCATTAAGAGTTGTCAGTAAAGAGAATTGCCTGTTTGAGATAAGTGTCATTGCATATAATTTTATCATGAAATATGCAAGAAAATAATAATAGGCTATATTTAGGAAAACAAAATATACAATTGCATAAAAATCCAGTATCTTGTTATAAAAAAGATTCATGCACAAAACAGCTACAATATAAAATAAAAGCTGATAGCATCATGCAGTCATAATATAACTGATTTGTCTCCTGAATAAGGTTAGGTACTAATTCATTTAAGGGTTGGGCAGGTCCAAGAATACAATAATAAAGTATATAAAAGAATAAGTGATATGATCTGAATAAATTTTCAGAGTACTGATAGTTCACTCCTAAATGACCCAATATCAATTTTATCAAATGCTATCTACTTCTTAAGCTCAGGCATCTCAGCAGTCAAGACTCTTGACAAACTCTTAAATACGAATTTTCATTCTTTGAAAGATTTCTTAATTCCATGGAAATAAAAAAAAATCACTAAAATTCGACGATTTGGTGAGGAGATATAATGCATTGAACATTTAGTAATTCTACTTGGGAGATTCAGAGACTGATTGCTTCTTATATAGACAATTATATGTAGCGAATTCTAGAATTGGAAAACCAGACAATCTCTATATCTGTACAAAGAATTGAACAACAAAGAATATCGCATATTCAAAAGTATCTTTACATAAAATATATTAGAAACATCTGATATCTTATCTACTTCTTTTTTTATTTAACCAGAAGGAGCCACAGCAATGCGAGGGAGGGTACAGCTAGTAATCTAAATAAAAACTAATAAATGACTTAATATCGCTAGCGTATTAGTAATAAAATGTAATACAAAATAAAGTTTTTCCATAGGCTACATTAATTGAGTAAAAAATCAAGATAACAAACATATATTTAACATACCCAAAACCAGTTAGTGCCAGATTAGATCTTTTCGAAGCCAAATTATTTAATGGCACTCATCAAACTAAACAGTTATATTCTAAAAACAAACCAGAAAAAAAGAAAACAATACATTAGACTAAGAACAAACACAATATACTTGAACCTATTTTTGTGTAGAAAATAGGGACAAAAAAAAATCTACTCTGAAATTTCCCAAGTGGCTATAAAAAACATTATTTACAAAAGATCAAGTAAAAACATGTAACTTCACAATACATCCAGAAATTATGAACAAAAAAAAAATCTGCACAAAAACAGGTTTAGCATATGGAGAAGGGGAAAAACTAAATAAATGAATTAAGAATATATTTAAATGTTTTTAATAATTACGTTGAAAGATAAACTCTGTCACAAAGTTTTAATTTATTTATTTCTTTAAGGCGAAGATATAAATAAAATATAATATATATTATCTTCAGATTATTTGCATAAAATGTTTTGTAGATATAATTAAAAACTGTCATGTTTCTTAAAGCAAAGTCAATATATCACAAATTACATGCAGTGCTTAGGCATCCAGCACAAACATTCACGTGCCACCACCATTCATTTTAGTATCATAGCATTATCATAAAATATTAAAATGATAACTATGAAAAAACAAACTTAAAAACCTACGACATACATTGATTAATTATCCTTCATCAAAAACATAATTTTTCCTGGATTTAATTAACTTATACTTAAAAAATATTTACAAAAAATAAATATTTATATTTTTACATTTTAAGAAATCTAAAAAATATGTATATATAAATACCTTTGGTTTGGGGCGATGAGTATCAACAGCATCAATAGAAAACGGTATAGTTTCTACTTTGCAGCCGTAAGCGACTGGAGTAAGCTTCATAACAGAATGAAGAGGTACCTGAAGGTAAGGAAGTTCATCTGAAATTATTAAAACAATTAATCATTAAAATTGAAACAAAATGACTGTCATAATTGAGAATAGCATAAGTCCAAACTCCAAAAGTTAAACCCCTGAAATGAACATGTAAGTTTTTTAATGAGCTGTGAATAATTTAATATATATTTTATTTACTTTCTGCCGACCTTTTGGTTAACTGTTCATTACGCAGATAAAATAAATAAATAGCAGGTCATTCCTATTTTCATCGTTTTAATTTCACTACAAAAACTCATTGTTTATGCTTGCATAAAATTAAAATAATTAAAGATATGAAATGAGGTTTTTAAAAAATAGTTATGTATGTTCTCAAAGTAAAGCTGATTCATTCTAGTGGTAATGCTTTCAAGGGTAAATGCTTCAAAGTAAATTTTCTGACTTATGGAAAAATTTTATTTGCTCTGTTGAAATAGAAACCTCTTTTTTCTTCAAAATAGGATTCAATAACTACTGTTTTCTTTACTACTTCCATTATAAAACAATGAGAGTAGTTTAACTTTTTGCCTCTTTTCTTTACTTTCTGTTATGTGCTAATACTCCTTGCCCTTAATTTTTCTACCAGCTTCTTTTATAGATTGAGACACCTCCAACCTGATTCGTAGGTATATTTCTATCAAGTGGATCTTCATTACAATCACATTCTCAATTCTTTTAAAATAGCTCAACGGGTAAGACATAAACAAGCTAATAACTCCCAATAAGTAAATAATGACTAAATAAACAAAATAGCAATTACTGATTCAACTCTACAAATCAAACAAGTTTCAGTATAAAATCAGAATATAAACAGAAATCCAAAAAGCAACTTAATAATAATTTAAGATAATTGTGAAAGCGTAATACAGAAGTACTTCAACTTTTATGAGTTAAGAACCCAAATTAAAAATGATTATTTTTAAACAGACCATAGGTATATATTTACATGAATGAAAATTTCATGAAAAGCCATTTAATATGAATTGAACTTATTAACTAGATTTGGCTATCCTCTACAGCAGTTTTCAATCTTGTGCATGCGGACATGAGTGCACCCTTGCAGTTATTTAAAAGTGCACTCGTGACAAAGTGTACATATAATAAAAAACAAAGAAATGGCATTTTAAAATAAAATAAAATATTATATTAGCTTTTAAAATTTGTCATTTACTAAACTGCTATAATGAATGGCAACTTGGTTGTATGTTACAATAAATAAAGAATGTACAGTTTTTAATAACCTCAAATGTGCCCGTGTTACAAAAAGATAGAAAATTCCTGTTCTACACAATAGAAGAAAGATTAAGGTAATACTATTATCCCTAAAATATAATGATAAAAAAAAATACAAACCAGCAGATTTATCGAGAAGATACGCCAATAGACACCTCAAGACAGCTTGATGACTAACAACAAGTACGTTCCCTTGCCTTTCAAGCTCCATTATAACAGGTTCGAGCCTGGCGACTAAATCTTCATAGCTCTCGCCTCTAGGGTATCTGTAAGTGAATTTGGCCTTGTCCCTAGAGGCAAAATCATCAGGAAATGAAGATTGAATTTCTTCGTATGTCATTTCCTCACAAATACCCTGGAATCGACAAAGATATATAATTTTAAATCTTAATAAATAAAAAAGTTGTTTTTAATTATAGTTAACAGGTTTTTACATTATTTTAACCAAATGTAGATTAACACCTCAAGACTACAAAAAAAAACTTTCTATTTAGAGATATTTTAAGATAGGTTAGCTTCTACGGGTTAAGAAATATTAAACAGAGGCAGCAAAGCCATTTTCCAAGAATAAGAAGAAAGTTCTAAAAACATTCCCTTCAAGCCTAATTTCAGACACTGCACTGTTTGATCATAGGATGACAATACTCATAAAAAATCTAAAGAATATTTAATAAAAGGTGTTTAATTTATTATGCCAATCCCTTCCACGGCTGTCAGAGATATTGACATAATAATTATCCATTTTTAGCTGGTACAGAATTTATAGCTAGAACTGTAAACTTAAAGGAGTTAGTGGACTAAATAAGTGTAATATAAAATTGATTGCTTTATTTTAGGTTATTTTGGATTTTATACAAAGTTTAAATTCAGGTGGTGTGGGATGCTTGCGATTTTCCTTTCTTCTATTGGTCAGTCTTCTTGTTCATGCTTCTCTCTTCCTTTCTTGGCCCCTTGCCGTCCACAGAAAGGTAGTTTTTTACTTTATGTTTATGAAATCAAGAGAGTTCTTAATTTTCTTACTGGCCAGCCTAGTGAGTTGTTACTCTGCGTGAGCATCTATGCTTCAGTCACGGCAGAATCTATCTAACATCTGAGATATATAGTCAGTATGCTCGAGATCGCAGCTGTGTTGTTTTATTCTTCATTTAATTTAAATTAAATTCAAATGGGAAGTTTGCTGTGTTTCTTAAACAAAAGGGATTAGTAATGAGGCCGTTCAACTTGTTAGAAAAGATGTTGGGCTATCCCCTTTTCTCCTCCCACAGTGTAGGAAACTTTCAATAAATAATTCCAGATAATAACAGCATAAAGGAAGGGAAAAGTGCATGGAGAAGTGCTGGCAAGAATAGATGAGAATATTTCGGCCTTAGATAGAGCAAGCAATTAATAAAAAAATAAGAATACATAAAGGCTATTATAGTACAGTAGATTGTGGATAGTCTAATGAACTCTGATAGAACCCAGAATACAATTGGATGTTCCTATGGGATTCCTTTGGGGAACAATAAGTTTTTATTAGTTATACAAAGGAAGGCAAAATGGACCTACAGGCATGTCAAAACATAAATAATTTTAGAAATGACCAACTTATTTTATTACAAACCCATCCCATAATTAAATAGACTTTCACATCAAGTAAAAATAATGCACTTAAGTAATTTTAGTTCTTAAGCAAAACTTAAGGCGTTCAAAATTATCTTTGAATAACAAACTAACCCTTCATAATGTTTTACTTAAATCAATTTAGCCTTATGTCATAGAACTGTTTGGTTCTGCTAAAACTTCCAATATTAAAAACATACAGTCTTTCCAGTCCAAAATGTTGCGTAGGATAGTAGATACACAATTTTATAATGCTAACAATATTTTAGATAAAGACTTAAACATATCAACAATTTTAGACACTACAAAAGAAAACTATAATTACTAATTTCACCCAAGACTATCATCTAACAACATAGATCCTCTGACAGAAAATGATAAACGCACTAGTAACCAGTACAGCCCACATTTATGATTGCGTGGAGCCAAGAGACCAGTTCAACTGATATATTTCCTGAATATGTGATGGGACGCTGCGAAGCTGTCAAAAAACTTGCTCATTACAAAGCAATTTCCAAATCAGAAATTTAATTTCATGTTTATGTAATATAATAATAAAGTAAAACTTTATATGAGAAATATATAGTTAGCTGTAAATATGTACAACCCAATGAATTTATTATAATGAGTTCTCTTTCTTTTAACAAATAGTTGACTGTGCATTCCAAGTACACATTTGCCATTTATGTTATTGTACTCTTCTTTAATCTAATTTTTTTTTCTTTTTCTTTTTTTGAGTTTTGGATATGTGATTTATGATATAAACATATTTAAAAATAAATACATTAAACAGATAAATAAATTTCGCGTTTAACTTTATTTTGTAAAAAGATTTAACAAGAGAATGCATGAAACAAGATTCACATAAAAAAACATACAGTATTTTACTAAAAACAAATAATCTTTTACAAGTGTACTAATGAAAGCACCTTATTGATATAGAAATCATGCATTCTGAAAAAAAAAAAAAAAATTGTATCAAATTCAAAAACTGAAATATTGATCTAATTACTTACAGCATCAATTTCATTTAATGCTTTCCACCTTTCTTGAGGGGCAGGGATTCCTTTCACAGTATTGATTGTCCTCTTCAGCCATGATGTCCATACACGAAGGCCTTCTATCTTTTGTTCTTGAATATAATCGGCTAATGCGTCTGCAAATTCTTCTCCTCTTGAAGATAGATCAGAATCTCCTCCTATTCTCCCTTCAAGGTTGTGATAGGTTTCACCGTGCTAAAATTTGAATAAAAATAAAATATCAATTATGAAAGTAAATTTTAGTAAATTGAGGGAAACATTTAATTAGTTCATTATAGGAAGATTCAATACAAAGCCTTTAGTCTAAAATGGCAGTTCATAACCAGTCGATCAACATTTATCCATTTATATCATAAGGAATTAAAACTACAAAATCACATTAATTTAGGCATGATATAGGTAATCTCTCTTAAATAGTTTGGTATATACAAAATCTGAACTGTTTACAAGGTAATTAAAAATTTATTAACTTGAAAAAAATATTGAATTTTTTAAATTAAAATAAACCATTAAAAAATCAATTTAAATAAAAAAAGAAGAGTGAAGAGGAAATGAATTTGATGGAGGGAAACAAGAATTCAATTACCTATGATATGAGTGAACATTCCACTAATTTTATTAAGTATTTACATACTTTAAACATATTTTAAAGAATTCTTTTTCTATCTGAACACAAATAGATTATATTTTTGGAATCATAAGGCAAAAAACAAATTTAAATGACATAATTAAAATTAGAATCTCTTTACTTATGAACTAAAGCTATTCAGATTTTGTTTTTCTGTGTAACAAGAATTGAGGGCATGTCCTTAAAGTTTGTTGCTGTAAGGATTAATCATGATTAGAACATGAAAATGGTTTACCTTAACCAGCAAAATTAATTTTAATTATTAAAAATGAACTTACCCTACATAAATAAATTGTCCTTGGTACGATATGAATATTCATTAGGTAATATACAATCCGGGACTGTATGTGGCCTTCGTGCTTATGTACTAATACTTTTTCACCAGTGTTATAAATTTTCATAAATGACAGGTTGGATTCATTTTTCTCATCTAATGGCTGGTACCTCTCCTTGTAATGATCAATCCTTTGTAGGAAGTCATTGAGAGCTGTTTCATTGTTCATATTTAAATAGTCCGGTGAACTAACTTTGACTTCCTAAAACAGCATTAATAAAATAGAATATTTAAAAAAAATAAACTAATGATAAAATTAGAGTAGGAAATATGTTTAAAAACAATGAGGCATCATTAGAGTTTACAAATTTATAATTAAGGGAATGTTGACGTTATATACTAAATTGAGGCTAGAGCATTATTGAAAATTTGAACCTATCAAGAAATAATAAAATTTTGTCTACAGTATTGAAGAGAAGTTGATTGGGGTTTTTAGTCAAAATAATTTGAAATTTTTATTATTATAATTATTGCATCTATTTCAACTTAAAAGAAGAAAAAATCAGCACCCTGTCTTCTAGTAGTTTATCATATTTTTATAAGCTACTGAATAGCAAAGCTAAGAGCTTATACAGTCATGAATTTTACAAGTATGGCTTATTGAGGTGAATATTTTATTAAATATTGTAACTTGTTTTATCAGTTTCTGATATAAAATGGCTTGTCCACTAATGAGCTGAAAACACATAAAAATACTACATTAGACAGTTCACAACACGGATCAGATTTAGATACAAATGCTAACTATCGAATATGAAAATCACCACTCTAATATCATTATCAATACAGCCTAAACAATGAGGATGTTTCAATTTCCACAGAAAAATGTGTTTTTATGAATGTTCAAAGATGTATTCACTTTTTTAAAATATTTAATTACAATAACAATCGCTACAATGCAGGATTTTAAATTTTAGATATTTTCATAAATATCTAAAATTTATGCTAAATAATTGGTAAATGGTTGACTGTCGTGGATAATGAAGAGACGAATAGTTGGGGTGCTCAGTCAAAAAAGGAAGGCAAAAATAAATTATAATATTTATTTTTTACATCTGCCGACGTTTCGACCTGAAGTTCAGGCCATCATCAGGGCTTTCTCCTAAAGTGTCAAAGTGAGAAATGGCTTTCTAACTTTGACACTTTAGGAGAAAGCCCTGATGATGGCCTGAACTTCAGGTCGAAACGTCGGCAGATGTAAAAAATAAATATTATAATTTATTTTTGCCTTCCTTTTTTGACTGAGCACCCCAACTATTCGTCTCTTCATTCTCTAAAATTTATGAATTGGTCAGAGAAGGACCATCATAAATAAGCCTGGCGAAGGTCCGAAATTTGTGGCAAATAAGAATTAATTATTAAGTAGAGTAAGGAAGACAAAATTTTTTAATGGAATATGAATTTAGATGAAGTATATTTATTGTAGTTTGGCAAATAATGAGGGAATTCAGAGTCATGTTCTTTGAGAAACACTTCAATCTACGATATCAGGACTTTTAAAAATCTTGAATGGTACTGAAAAAGAATCTATAAAAAACGGCAGACAACATTTTTTAAATAATAAAAAAAAAGTAACTATAGGACTGAGTTAGGCATTTCACTGTGACACAGTAGATATCAAACTCAAACACTCCTACCTCCCTCCAACAATTTTTTAAAATCCAAATTAGAAAAATTGATGACAAATTTGGGTCATTTTTTTATTTTTATAACCAAATCTTCAAAAATGAATAAAAATTGAAAATTAATGGAAGAACCTAATTAGATATTTATATTTCCAATGAAGAGACTTATCATCAACTACAAATAATTAAAAACAATGTGAATTTAAGTTTTCATGGTCTGATCTAACATGAATATTGTAGAAAAACGAAAAAGAGGACTATGAAATGAGGTTAAGGGGCTAACAAAGCATATTTTGCTCTAAGAAGTTTCCTCTGTAGTTAACTGTTAAGTCTGGGTACCAAATGACTATATAAAACAATCATATGACCTCTTCCTGAGTAACCTGGACCCTACGCAAAATATTGGCTGAAAAGATTGATAGGTTTGAGAGAAAAGTGTTAGAAAAGTGGCACGTCATGGAGCCTATTAGGGGTTTGTACCATTTGAGAAGAAACAAAGAGATCAACGACTTATATGAGGATATCAGAACTTCCCATCTCATGCGAATTCTATACTTCAAGTGACTGGGATATGCAATCAGGACGGATGATGATCTGAAAGCTGAACAACCCTCGATAAGCACGTAGGCAGGATCACAACAGCGGAAATGAGATTTCTCCGAAGAATAGCTGGCAAAACTAAGAGAGACTGTGTCAGAAATGACAGAATCCGTGAGGAATTAGAGGTGACATCAATCCGTGGCATCCTGGAAGAGAAGCAGTTGAAATGGTTCAGACACATCTGCAGAATGAACAACACCCGAAAGGCCAAGTGGTTTATGAAAGCTAGACTGGAAGGCAGACGACCTTGTGGCAGGCCGAGATATACTTACCATGATTACATTGGAAAACTGGGCACAGCAAGAGGACGCACCATACCGGAGATGAGAAGACTAGGCAGGGACAGAGACCAGTGGGCAAGATGGGCTGGGACTGCAGCTCCACGATTAACGACACAAAGGAGCTAGAGAAAGAAGAAGATGGATGATGGTAAAGTAGACAGGCATTTATATTATGGAACCCCAGATGGAGTCAGAGAACATGGCAAGCCGAGGAGAAGTTGCAAATACTCGGTGGCTGAGATCTTGAGTATGGTCGGAGTTTCCAGCAGAATTGCTATTGACTGGGAAAAGGCTATAGAGAGGACCAAGTGCAGCTTTAGGGTGATAAATAAATGAAATCACAAGAAAAAGGATATAGAAGGTGACTCTAGAGAGTTCAGAGTTAGAAGATGGAGAAGACCAGCCAGGACAAGACAATATGACAGAATGATGAGCTTATTCCATTAAAATCCTTGGCCAAGAGACAAAGAAGATGGATAGATTACATTTTATATCATCATGAAGTGGACTAACGTAAAAACCCGTGGCCTTATATCACTGTAATCAGTTATATTGTTAACCTAGCCTCCTTTAAGTTAAGAATTAAGTCTGAGCAATTATAATGTATAATCAATGATGCTTTTGACCACTTTGACGTTGTTTTATTTGCTTTTATGCTATATATTAAAAATTGATTTTTTTAAAATTAAAATAAAATATTATATTTTGAAAATTATTTCATGACCTGATATATATATATATATATAGGATAATAAAACAATTATTTAATTTTTTTTAAATTATGGTTGACACAAGAAGTTCATTGAAGTACTGTCGATATTTAATTATTATTATTATTATTATTTACAATTATAATTATTTGCCAAGTTTTCTATCGGAATCAAGATAATATTAAATAATATTACAAACATGTGCTTACCCTTATATTCTGCTCAACTATTTGGGGATCATCACATACTGATTCAACAAAAAATAATTTAAAGCCCATTTTTTTCACAACAATGTCATGAATCATGTTTCTCCTTTCTGTTGTTGAGTTCGTCGCATCAAATACCTGTTTGAAAAACAGTCAATAATAATTTCAAACAAAATCAGATAAGAGAATTATTAAGAAAATTATAGAACTATTTAAAAATTAACTGCAAGACTTAAAAAAAATATATAAAAATAAAATAGAGGATGGATAGGGCAGAAATACTACCATTAACAACGTGCATTACTAATATTTGCTTCGTTTTCACTTCACAGAACAAGCACATATGCTTACTATGGCTTCCATAAATTCAAAATGCTAGACGCACTCTGAACGGCTGAGGAAACATATTAAATACATGAGAAAAACATAAAGAAGTTCAAAAATAAAAATATTTAAGTACTTCTTTATATTTAAAAATCAAGAGAATATAATTTAAAAATAAACTAAGTTGTGAAACTTACAGCAACTTCGCCTCCAGTCCTGAGCCAATTGCACACATCTTGCAGTGCGTCGAGGCAACACTGAGTCCTAATGGCCATTGCTTCCTTATTATCAGGCCGAAAAAATTCATGGCTCTTATAAGCGGTGGTAACATGTCGTCTATACTCACCAAGATTAAACACTACAAAAATTTCAAATGAACTAAAGTCAAAGCCAAATAAGAGTTTCAGTTTTATTTTATTTTATAAATAAGGAGTTTTCTCCCTAAAACATATCTGTATAGAATTTATTAGAAAAGAAAATTGGAATTTCACACAATTAACATGATATTTAAAATATAATAATTTCAATATTTACGAAGTAATGACCCATATCATTCTCCATTTTTAATTCTTTAATTGAATTGAAATGGATATTAATATTGGTTGAAGAGTAGCTAAATGCTTATCAAGTAATTAACTTTATAATCAGGTCTAAAGGTGAGACTAACACAAACAAGTTATAATATATTACCACCATTTATCAAGGATATCCAATATGTCCATTACCTAAAATTTGATTCGATTTTTATCAGATCTGGGTAAAAAGTATATTAATTACTATGTTAAAATACCAAGTATTTTTTGTTTTTAAAATACAGCATATTTTAATTACAATATATTTAAATTGTTTTTAGAAAAGCATTTCAAATACAAAATATCAAAATTATGTTGTATTTTAATTAAAAAACAAATATATTTCACGGAGTGGTGGTTTACAACTAATTCATTTTAAAATATTTTTATTTTTGCGAGGAAAAGAGTTATAAGATTAGCAGACAATGGATATAATTTAAAAAAAGGGAATATATTATTTTATTCAATACAAACTATTTATAAGCAATTCATAATGACAGTGACAACTTGTCAAATTATTTCATTTTCAATATTCACTAAGAAATTGCATAAATTGAACTATCCATTTTTGTTTTTCTAAGGTTCTTGAAAAGATCATTAAAGGTAAAAACAGGCATTTTCTTTTCACAAACTAAACATCTGTCAATCCACCCTTCATCATTCAACAAAGTATGCTCTTCTACTCATTCCTATGATAAGACGTCTGCATAATTTTTTCAAGTGTTGACAATCGACCTTCAACAATATTTAAGCTCAATTTCTATGGGGAAGATTGAGGGTGTAAACCTGGCTTAGCAGTATTTCGAGGCGATTCTTTTGGAGAGAGCCACTGTCTTTTGCGTTTTGGATTATCATACAGGAGCCATTTTTCATCTCCGATGATCAAGCGTTCAAAAAACACTTCTGTATGGTGCCATTGCAAGGCAATAGTTGAATGTGGTGGTTTCCCAATCGGCTGCAAACGTTCTTAGATGGTCGGCCAAAATTGGTTAAGACTGTTTAACAATGCTTTGATTGTTTGACAAGGATTTGTCCTTAACACGTCATTGTCTAATGTAGTCGATCTTTCTGGTCGAAGTGAGTCAGAAAGATCAAAATTACTGGATCTGAACTTAAAAAACCACATTTGGCATTCATTATTATTATAAATATAAATTATGGTATCTAAGGCATTTGGATAGACATCGCAAATGATTTTTGGTGGCAACTGTTGTGTTACTACCCTTATAAAACACAAAAAACATGCAATGCTGGGTATGTACCTCTTCTGGTATTTGATTGGCCATTTCACATAAAAAATAATTTTAATTTAATTACTTACAACTAATGAAGTCACACTAACCTTAGAATGTCTTTGTCATGACATAGATGCACACAATGAATTGACAAATGATAAATAGTGACAAGCTCTGAAACGACATTACTTTCCGGTCCCCCTAATATTTCTGAATAAACGTACTTTTATTACACGTTTTTACCATTTCATATGGGAGAAAATTAGAATATTTTTTAATTATAATCTATTTTTTTCACTAAAATTTGTTTTTCAGTTTTTCCACAATATGTGAGCATATTAAAAAAAAAAAAAATACACAAATGTTTGATCACAGTCTCTTCCTACTCCAGCTTCCCCACCACCAATCAATCATCCCCTAATCAGTCTCCAGCCCTTTTTCTCTTCTCGCGATCCCTTCTTATGAGACATTCTCAACTGTTGATGCAAATAAAAATATACAATTTTTGACTTTTTTTCACATGCAACAAGTGTTTATAATCTATCAAAATGTTCCATTCTGGAAAGAAAAGCTTAGCTGAACTAGGTAAACTTAGGTTTAAAGAGGCATGATCTTCTTTCAGTGCTTCTAGAAAAAGAACTAGTGCAAAAGAAGACAACATTGGTTGGAATACTGTGAATAAAAAAGAAATTTCATCCATTTTATTCCACAAAACACGGCCAGTGCACTATACAATATACTAAAAATTTACAATATACTAAAAACTATACTGTTTTTACTTGTAAGAATTGTGCTCAATAAAATTTTTTGTCAGAACATTTTATTTGAAATTTTTATAATCAGAATATTTGTATTTTTCTATTTTTTATAACTTTGTCTGGTTAAAAAATTTATTTCAGTTTTAGTACTATTATATGAGCACTTCAGTTGACAGAATGACTAACTCAAATTTCAACATTTTTGAGTAAAGTCATTTTAGTGATATTTATAGTTGGAAAATTTATAATAATGGATTGGCAAAAAAGTCAATGCATTATAGACATAAAATTTATTTTAATCTGCAATATACATTGACCATTATTTAATATGACTTTTCCACTAACTGCATAATGCCATGTTCATAGAATGTCTTATTCATAGAATTGTTTATTGTTAAAGAACTGATCCAAGTGGTATTTTATGTCTTCTTCCTTTTGGAATTTCTTTGCATTCATGGAGTTCTGCAGAGACTGGAATAAGTGGTAGTCACTTGGAGCTTGGTCTGGTGAATAGGGATGTTGGAGCAAAAGGTCCCATCCGAGGCTCAATAATTTATTGCGAGTGACCAATGAGGTGTGGGACCTTGAGTTGTCTTGGTGGAACAAGACACCCTTCCGATTTGCCAGTTCTGGGCATTCATAATCACTTGTTTCTTGAATAAATATTTTCTTTTTCATTAATAAACATCATGCAAACAAATAGTTCACAATGATTACAGCTTACTATGATAGTGCCTCTGGGTTGTCATAGCAATATGGAGTGAGAAATCAACACTTCACATATTTTTTTAATGGTTCATGTTAATACAAATTTTACCAAACAAATGAATGCAAAATATGATTCTAAATGGAAAGATCATGGGAAAAAAACTAATTAACTGTTTCCGGTTGTGATTTAACCCTTTTATTGTCGAGTGACATAAATGTGACCGAAGTTTTGAAATGATTCAAATATCTATAAATAAAAATAAGACTATTTAGAAATTGAAAAAATAATAGTAGAAAATACAAGCATTCAAAATTACAAAATTTATCATTTTCAATTTTGGTCTAAAAAAAAAAAAATAATAAAATGCATGCCTGGAATACTTTTTTATTACAATTTTATGAAACCACACCGAGAAGGAAAAAAGGAAAATGCAAATAATCATAAATTAAAAATAGACAAATAACCAAACATTCAAAGGCTTCAATGAAACTAAGAATCAAAGCAGGAATAAATTAAATCAAAAGTGATGCACAGTTACATAAGGTTAATGAATTCGATTCTTATCACATCAAGATACACAAAACACCAAAACAAAAAGCACACAGTTGTGTTATCACTACATCACTACATTACATTATTAATATGATGTAAGCAAGATTTACACACAAATGGGAGAGTACAAAGTCAAGGAATTAAAATGCAATAAATGATTCCAAGGACTTTTTTTTTGTTGTCTTTAGTTATTTATTATATTATGAAAGATGTCTGGAAAATCATAAATCTAACAATTAGTGATTATGAAGATGTTTGCATGAGATAGGAAATGCAGCCATAAAATAAATTTATTTAAATTCATGTCTAATGTAACATTCTTTAAAAGTTATTAGTGCAATCGAACATAATATGTCATTTTTAAAAAATGCAATACCTAGGATACTGGGAAAATTAAAAGAAGATAACAACTGGAAAATATAAATAATAGGTACATACATAAGTGTGGTTTGACATAGATGTTAAAGCTTACCTTTAGTGTTTATACCAATCCAGTTGAGATATCTGGACAACTTCTTTGATATATAGGTTTTCCCCCTCGCAGGGAGTCCAACCATTGCGATAACATGTGGGCTGTTGACATAATTTGCCCGTTCTCCTAAAAGAAAACAATTTAAAGATATATATATATATATATATATATATATATATATATATATATATATATATATATATATATATATATATATATATATATATATATATATATATATATAAACATTCCAGGATATAACAAGGACATACAATTTACATAACCTAGACATTAATGGCAAAAATAAGAACTTACATATTAAACTGTTTACTAAACTTACATTTCGAAAATTTAAATATAAAATACAAATGAATCTTCCTGAAACATGGCATTTTTATTCAAACTAGACATATTTGCAAAAGTGCTGAGTCATCAATATGAATCAGAATAAGGAACATCAATGAATTGTATAGAATTAGTAATATTTGTAAAAAGATTATTCAAAATGGTGATACATTTTAATTTGGGGTGATATTTCAACAAATTCTCACCAATTCGGATAGAGATCTGGCGTTGGAAAGAATTCCTTCTGATCATTTGGCAAATGAGTGTGGAACTGAACTGACCGAGTCCTCAGAATATTCCATTTGAACTTTTGTGGCAAGGTCTCGCGATAAAGGGTTAACTAAAATTAGATAACACCATTTTTTTGGGTTAGCAATGGAATTTAATACCATTGTTGGAAGCAAAACCAACCTTTAACGACTTTATCTCAACAAGCTCATTATAACCTTATCAAACCGTATAGCGCTGATAACATTGTTAATGAAAAATCCCTAACTACCTTAAAGAAGGAAAGTGTCAAATTACATTTAAAAGAAGATTTGAAATAATTAAAGATTGTTATTTTTAAAACATAAATACTAATAAAAATGTATAGAATCATAAACATCGATAAAAATTATCGTTATAAAACACGCAGAAAATCAACGTCTTTTAAAGAGACATTTAAATTCAGTACATAAGTTAATAATAACTTAAATAATACAATTTACAAAAATAAAAACTTTCCTAAAACATCCAAACGAAAAAAATTCTTTATTAATCGCAAAAGTGACTGAAAGGAATCAATAATCAAAACAAATACATTAAGTTGATTGAATCACAGTAAACAGCATTCACAAAAACTATAGGAAAAAATAGCATATGTTTGAAAATGCGAGAAATATGGAAAGAAATTCCATAGATGATTACCAGGAATGTAGAATTGCATAAATTCTTCATAAATCATAGTTTTATCTTTACATGCAGTCCTAAAATCTAATTTTTGATTTTTACTTATCATTTTTTAAATTACCATTTGATGAAATTGAAAAACGACATGTCAGAAAGTAATCAATAATATTTTTCTAATTTCACTAATGTTTAAATTTTATTAAAAATAATTTAATTAGATGAAAATGGCAGCATTTTAATGTTATTATTTTTTAAACAAAATAATTCTCATCACATCAAATGACAGTGAATATTCGTTTATATTATTGAAATTGACAAATTCATACTTTATAAATTAATTAACATATTTTTACATTACAAAACAACAAACAAAAGCACAATAAACATTTTTAATTATTTTAAAATCAAGGATTTATAATCAAAAGTAAGCATAAATGATGTGACACTATATGTGTTTTTAAATGCATTTGCTAAAATTTGAACATACATATATCAAGGAAAAAAAATATTTTGACAAACAGCCAATGTTTGAAACTATATATATACAAAACAAGACGATCTTGAGTCTCATTATTGATTAGCGAGGGGATATCCTGCAGGAAAAGATAGGACTTAATTATATTTTAGGAAATATCCATTAAATACAAGGGTTAGTTGTAAAAAGGTTTGAAATATAATTCTGTTCTGAATTATAGATGTAAGGATTAGATGTAGATTAACATTATTGCAGACTGATAACGTCAAGTGTATGAGAATTGTGACTAATGAAAAGTAAGTTAAAGGAGATATGGACGTTTAAGAAGGTACGACATCGCTTCTCAGTACTGTCATACAGTTAAAAACGAGAATCATAACCACGATCAGAAAAAGCCGCTAATTAAATACACACCTCTTATGGGAAAAGGTTTCGTCTGGATGGTATCCGAAGTTGGTGGAGTATGCCTTTGAGAAGCTGGTGACATGTCCAAATCAAAAGGTCCCAATTTCATAGTCGATCATGAGGTGACATATACGAACACATTGCCGACAAGGAGTACACTGTTCGATTGACGGGCTTCAACTGGCTCCCCTCCATCCTATACCATCTGAGGCCTCGGCTGACGCATGCGTCCATGGCGTGATGCTATGTTGAACACTTCCAAGTCTCTTTTTACTTCATTTTATTTTTTGTTTCAGTCTACGATTCTCTTTCGTTCAAGTACTTGTGCAGTCCTATAATTCTACAGTAAACGGTGCGAATATTTAGTTTAGATTTACATGTTTGTAATTTTACATAAATATATGTTTGTAGTCTTCATAAATGTTGAACGCTACCTTAAATTGGAAAGCTTAACTGTTGAACAATATTTACTTTCGATATTTACATTAACTCTTCTTATTTAAAATGAAATGTTTAAATGGATACATTAATGTTCCTGAAACGACTTTAATTCGCACTGTGATTAGTTTTAATTTAGATTTTATCTATATTTTTGTTAAATAATTAATTTAAATATTGGTAAACCATTGACTGTCACATTTTCTTGACAGGTGCAAGTTCATAATATGAACTAAAAAAAAACAACCGAACAAATTTTACCTAAAATAACCATTAGGATATGCATTATCTTCATAAAAACTTTGAAATTTTTGTCTATAGTTAGTATTGTTGATAACTGGCGGTCAACAGCAGACCAAGACTCATAGTAGTCGTAGAGCCGTATAATAATAAGTATTGGTATAAATTTCTTATTCATTGAAAAAATATATTATCTATAAACAATGGTTTTTGAGTTTTTTTCGAGACTTCAGCAAGTAAAACGGTTTCAAAATTATGCAATGAGATAATTTTCGCGAAAACTTAATAAACATACCAGATTCGGTTGGTGCCATATTACATTGAACTTGAGGAGCACCTGTGTTTTTGTTGGTTTAGTTGGGCATTGGATAAATAAAATGATAATAGGATATTGGAATAAGGAATTAGATACATACATAATAACAACACCCAAAATGCTAAAAAAAAAAGTTCCCTAATGTGTTATGTACGGAGTAGTGTTGCCCAAATGTTAGACCGAGACGATTCTTGTAAACTCAGTCTTGTCATGGTCTTGGTCTTGCGCAAGAGTCTCGCAACAGTCTTGCATTTACTTATTAGCTTATTACTATAGAGATATTATTGTAATTTTTTGGATAGAAAAAAACCAAGTAAGCCCAAATGAAAAAATAGAGTAGTCAAATGCAAAAGTATATTGGTTATACCAATTATTAACATATAATAACTAAGATCGTCAAGTACTAGTAACTATTTTGATTTAATTTTTATGAAATAAATCGATTTTTTTAACCATCCCTGGTCTTGGTCTTGGTCTTGCAAAGTGCAAGACCAAGACCGATTTTGGACAACACTATTTGGGGAGGTGCCCAATCCCCCCAAGGTCGATAACTCAAGAATCTATCCTCCCTCACTCAGAAGATATTTTATTGATCACTTTTTCTTAAAAACAGAGCAAGCGAAGATGGAATTAGAAAAATCGTAGATGATATGTGATTACCCTCGCTGCTGTCTGTTCCATGTTTCCCATTGTTCCTTAGTACGAAACTTTTCATTCCGAAAATAAATAATTCCGCCGAAATGAGCCCCTTAAAATATCCCAAAATATGCCTCCCACAAAAATTTTGATAGTGCAAATTGCGCTAAGTTGAACAACATCGGTGAGAGTCCATGCTAAGCCAGTTCGAACTTTGAAGGCTGCAGGTATTTCTCCTTGTATTAAGACTCAATATTTAGGATCGTATGTACAAGCCTTTGTCAATATCACCAACTCTCCAGCAACTCCCAGTTCAGTCATAATTTTGAATTGAGTAGTATAATATGAAGCCGAGCAGTATAAATAGTAGAAATTTTATGTAAAAAATATAAATAAATAAAAGATAACAATAGAAAATAATAACTAAACAATAATATTGAAAATAAAAATATAGAATAAATAAAAATAAAATAAACCTAAAGATAAGAAAAGTAAAATAACACCATATTTTTTCATTAATTTAAAAAAAACAAATGATATAAAATAGATTCATATTTCCTATCGATTTAAAAGTCGACCCCTTTCACAATATTAATCATTACGTACCCATATTAACACCTATTTATTACATATTTATTGGTTCAACAGGTTTAATATTACTATGGTGGGAGGTGGCCGAGCGGGATAACGCATGTGCACAGACAGCACCCTGCAGTGCCTGGCAACCTGATAAGCGAAGTTTTGAGATAAACAAATAATTACGAGTTCAAATCCCATTGCCCGGTGGGACTTTTAACTCGGTATAACTCCCTCACCCTTTCCATCGGTCCGGGAAAAAACCCTTTTAGCCTAAGAGGCAAGGGATGGGAGACAAAAAAAAAGTTTAATATTACCCTGAGTCCTCCTACAGGACACCCTAAAAGTTTTATTAATTAAGTAATTAAAAAAACAAAACAATAGTTTCGATCAAATACCATCCTGTGGGAAACGGGAAGACGCACCTTTAGTAATAATTGAGGCAAAGCTCTTAAAAAAATGAAGAAAATATTGTGGAAGGGCAGTCGAGGACAAAAATATGTGAAGTGCACGGGCGGATCTACGGGGGGAGGGGGGCTTTCGGGCTGAAGCCCTCCCCCCAAAATGGAAAAATATAACCATGTTTTATGGGAATTTTTTTTTTTTTTTTAAATACCTCTTAAAGTATTATTGTTCGTGTAATTACATTTAAAATCACTTAAGGAATCACTTAAACACCATTTCATGTAGGTAGTTAGTTTCTTTCTGTTTTTCCAAAGTAATTATCGTTATTTTTATGAAAAAAAAAAGGTTTCGGGCTGAAGCCCCCCCCCCCCCAAATTAAATCCTAGATCCGCTAGTGGTGAAGTGTGAAACTATTGTTATATAAAAATAGAAGAAGAAATAAACATTCACTAATTTTGATAGCAAAGCCGGTAAAGAACTAGGACTCGAAATAAACGTGGATAAAACAAAATATATGGTTAGTTGCAAAAATGGCGATATCGATATAGATGGTAATATGTTTGAACAGGTAGATAAGTTTAGGTATCTAGGTTCTACGATAACTAGAAAAAACGAAATTGAAGAAGAAATTAAGGTTAGACTGAAGGCGGGAAATGCTTGTTATTTTTCTGTGACAAAACTACTTAGTTCGCGCCTCTTGTCCCGAAACTTAAAAATTAGAATCTATAAAACAATTATCTTGCCTACAGTTCTTTATGGGTGCGAAACTTGGCCGCTTACATTAAGGGATGAGCAGCGTCTTAAGGTTTTTGAAAATAAAGTATTGCGTAGAATATTCGGACCGAAGAAGGATGAGTTAACTGGAGAGTTCAGACGGTTACACAACGCCGAATTGCGTGAACTGTAAACGAGTAATATAATTGAGATAATTTCATCGCGGCGAATCAAATGGGCTTGTAAAGTTGTTGGACTTAGTAACGAGAGAATTCCTAAAAGGCTAATATTTGCTGTGCCGAATGGTAAGCGTCCGAGGGGTAGACCGAAGCGAAGGTGGGAAGATTGCATTAAAGCCGATCTGAAGGGACTGGGTTTGGACGGCGAACGATGGAGGGAGGTGTGCAATAAGCGATTGGTGGTGTCGGCATCGAACCTTCGGGTTCGGTAAGCCTTTTTATTATTATTATTAATTTTGATAGCATTGTGTTGCGTGTTAAGGTAAGCAACCGTTGACCTCATCATATAACGTGACAAATAACATAATCCATTGAGATGGATACCATTTTTCATCAACTGAACTACAAATTGTTGGTCCGTGCTAATAATTCGCATGGTATAACAGATCAGTGATCAAATGGTAATACCAAATAGAAATAAGTCAATGGGCTATATTATGGGAAAGAGACATTTATTTTTACTTCCACTTACCTATATATGAACTATTCAGGTAGCTATTAAAATTTCATCCTCTAAAGTAACTTTATCCGGTTTAATCGATATAATTAAACATATTTCTATTCTGTTAGCAGTAATATTAAATGGAATTTTCAAAAGATATTGATAGATAAACAAAGCAAAAATATCGGCTGGCAAAGTTGTGCCGAGATCCAACGATCTGGCACGAATCGTGAAATTATCTAAGTGGGGGGGGGGGCAGGGAGAAGGGGAATACGATGGAATAAAACGATGCTGTGCTGGTACCCAGAGCCGGGCTTAGGGCCGGAAAACTCTTCGATTGCCCCGGGGACCGATCATCTGAAGCGTCCGCCACTTATAATAACAAATAATAATAAAATTCAAATATTATATAATATAAAACCGCTTGAAAAATAAAGGTAATTTCTTTTAGGGGATGGATAGATTATGCCATTGCATTGCAGTGTTGGCTGGTTCTCATGGAAACCCGGTAACTATTTATTAAATTTTTGAACAATCAAAAACAACACATCCCCAGTAATATTGCAGTAGACAATTAGAAGGATATTCAAATTGCCTTCCTTTCCAATAATGAATAAATAATAAAAATATTTTTTTAAATGTTTTTTTACATCTTTCAAATTATTGTAAGGAAAATCAACCATAAATAATATACTTTTTAAGTTAGGCACAAATAAAGTTTTCTTCCTTAATTATTTTTTTCAACAAATGGAAAATCCAAATAAATGGCATTAAGTCATGTTATGTTAGCTTCTCCCAGAGAAAGATTTCGTGTCCTGCTCTGACATTAGACAACAAGTTAGTCCCCTCAAAAACTCATGAACGATATCTCGGAGTGAAATTGGACAAAAAACTCACCGGTAACACACCAAATTAAAAAAACTAGAACTGACCAGACGATACAAGCAACTGTCACATCTTTTGGACTACAGATCTCCTCTCAACTTACAAAACAAGTGAATAATCTACAGCACTATACTACAACCTATGTGGTCATACGTAGCAGAGCTTTGGGGTTCAAAGCACGTTCACTTAAACAAAATACTAACTGCACAGTCTAAAATACTTCAAAAAATCTTAAATGCGCTCTGACATATATCAAATTACACCATACACAGCGTCATGAACATTCCAACAGTAAAAACCTAAATTCATAAAAAATACACTTCAACTATTAATCACTCTAATCCACTTTTCCTCTTTCTATCTTCTTCCCTGTTATCTGGGGGGTCTCAAAGAAGACTACAATGGAAGTAGCCCCGAGATCTTCTCACAATATAAATAAATTTCAAGAAATAGCAGACAAAACGAGATAACGAAATAACAGTACATTTGCTAGATGCCCAGTTGCAAATTTAACTTTTGATCAAACCCTCTCCTGGAAACCACACATAGCCCAAATTTCCCGTCGCACTATCTCCACCATAAAGCAGTTCAATTGCTTACATTATCTCCTTCCAAATAAGTCCCGTCAACTCCTAGTTTCTTCTCGTGTTTTCCCCCATTTTGACTATGGCTGTATGGTGTACGGTGGACTCTCGAGAAATTCTGAGGCCAAACTTAAACGCCTAATGAATTGCGCATTACATTTTGTTTTCGGAATCTCAAGAGATACGCATATTACACCGAGTTGAAGTGCCTCTATCCATCCTATCATCGTGAGTACTTCCTTGCTATCTTTCTGTATCAGTTCATTAGAACTCATCGACCCTCCTATATTTTTCATAGCTTACAATTTAAATACTCCATCCAATCCCGTCCCACTAGATCTCGCACTTCCGACCTCTGTCCCCCTCCTCACCGAACTGCTGCGTTGACAAATCAATTGCCTTAAAAAAAAAGTTACTTGCGATCTTGATAAGTAATATGA